GCGTCCCCAAGCAGGAGGCCTTGCTGGTTCCTTGGCCCCCCTGAACGTGGGGTACAGGGTAGCCTCTGAGAGTGGGCCTGCTCCGGGGAAAGGTCGTGCGGTGAGCAGGAAAGGGGTTTTCCTGAGTCGACCTCTACTTCCCAAGCACCTGGGTCCCCACCTCTAACCACCGGACACCTGGCCACACCTGGCCACACCTGGCGCTGGCTCTGGGCCACCCAGGCTCCCCAGCGTCCTGCAGCCACCAGCCTCCTCCCCTGGAGCCCCCCGCCCCCGTCTGCCCTCGGCCTGCTGTGGGACGCCCTCCCTCCAGCCCTCGCTCCCCCTGCTCTGGCTGCGGGCAGGTGGGGGTGCCCCTCCCCGGCAGGGCCTGCTCCCCAGCAGAGGGGGCCGGGTGGCACACGACTCCCTGGGGCGGGCAACGAGCCTGCGGAGGCCCCACCACGCTGGGGCATGGAGGGACAGGAAGGCCCTGCCCGCCCCCCCTCCTTCCCTATCAGTTTCGCCCCCTCCTCTCCTTGAGCCTCTGTCTCTCCCAGCCTCCCCTCCTCCCTGCTCGCCCCGCTCCCTCCTCCCCCTGCTCTGGGAGGCGGGCCTCTGGCTGCCCAGCTAACAACCACAGCAGGAACCTCTGGGCTCTGCAGCCCTCCCAGCTCCGTTTCCATGGCCATGGGCCCAACACAAACACGACGCCCAGCTCCCCCTGGCAGCCCAGGACCCCCCACATTCGGGGTTGGTGGGCAGATGAGGTCATTGCCACGGGCCAGCAGGCCGGGGGGACTATTTGTTTGGCCATGTGTCCATGGCAACCTGCTAGACCCTCCGTGCAGCACATGAAGCTGCCCCCAGGCCCCATCCACCCCCCTCCCCGCTCCTGGCCTCAGGCCACCCGGGCAGCCCACCTCCAAGGAGTGCAGGGGACATGGGCCAGGGCCAGTCCCTGGCAAGACCACCCAAGCCCCCCTCCTGGGCCTGGGCAGGAGGGTGGCCCCAGGCACACAGCCCGGTCACCCAGGGACCCAGCTCTGCCCGCCCAGACCCTCCCGGGGCAGCCTCCTGTGCCCTGGACAGCGGGGTGAGGGGTCTGGGAGAGGAACCCTAGGACAGGGAGGGGGAGGTGCCAGAGGCGACGCTGCCTCTGATGGTGGGCAGGGGCAGTGGGGGCCTTGAGCAGCAGGTCCCTGCAGGGGCACCAGCACATGCGCCCCCACCCGCTGCAGTCTTTGCAATTGCAGGGCCCCCCGGAGGGTGCCCAGGACAGGTGGGGTCCAGCCATGGGCCCCAAGAGCAGACCAAGGCCCGACACCCCAGCACCCCCAGAGCAGGGCTCCCACAGTCTTCCAGCCTTCAGGCCCTGACCCCACCCGCACCTGGGCAGCCCCTCTCCGCCTCTGGTGCCAGGGCACCTGCTTTGTGCGACGGGGTCCCAGCTACGACGCGCCACCCGCTGGCCCCATGCTGCGGGCACTAGCTGCCCGGCACGCCCTCCCTCCCACTCTCCGCCCCTCCCTTCCACCTTCATCCGCGCCTGAAGGCAGCCTGGGAGGCCGGCAGGAGCGTCGTCTGAGACATTACCTAACAAGCCTCCTTACCTAATGCCCCAGCCATCTCCTGCCGCCGCCTGCTCCGCCCAGCGCCAGGCTGGGTCCCGGGGGCTGCCTGCGGCCACCTGTGCTGCCTCACCTGCGGCGGCACCTGAGGCTGGCCCAGCAGGGACTGCTCTGAGCGCCGCCCAGCGGCCTGGGGGATGCCGCCCAGGGAGGCAGGACTGGGCAGGGGCTCCTCACGTGCCCCCCTGGCAGATGTTGCTGGCAGTCCCTCTGCCCCGTCAGCGGGAGGAGGCCAGGGAGGGGGCCAGTCACCAGGCAAAGCCCGCGAGGTACGTGGGACACAAGCACGCAGGCGCAGAAGCACGCAGCCAGGCCCAACGCTGCGGGCGCACACCCACACAGGGACACCCCAGCTCAGCCACCCGTGGTGCTGCGGGTGCCCAGGGCCGCTAGGGGCAGGGGCGGGGCAGCCGCTTCGGCCCATACTCTCCTGCTCCCAGAAGAGTGGCCCGGTCAGGCCGCCAGGCCCTCCTGCCTGCCGTCGGGTGGTGCCGTGGCTTCCGGTGTGCAGTGTGCACGGAGCAGGGCTGCGGGCAGGGCCAGCTCCTCGAGGACGTGGGCCCAGGTGACCAGGTGTCCCCAAGGCCCCTCCATTCCAGTCCCGCCCCCTCCCTCCTCCCGCCCCCTGCCTAAAGGGCACCTGGGGGATCGCCCCAGGCTGCGGGGGAGGGTCTGTGCCCACATTCCTCATGAGGCCTCTCTCCTGAGGGTGGGAGCACCCGACAGGACCCGAGGGGTCAGGAGGCATCCCCCAGGGACAGGGGCCACTATGATTCCAGCAGGTCAGCTTGGCAGTGGGGGACATGGGGACCAGGGAAGGAGGAGCCCCAGAGGGTTCCTGAGAGCAGGTGGGAAGCAAGGAGGCGCCCACACTGGCAAGAGGGTGGCCCGGAAGGGGCCCAGGGGCGCGGCCCTTCCGCGCGAGGGAAGAAACGCCCGAGAGGAAGGCCTCTTCCGCGCCGTCCTGAGGAGGGTGGCCCGGCGGCCAGTCTCCGCACGCAGCAGGTGCAGCCCCAGGCCCAAGGGGCGCCCAGCGGGGCCTTGGAAGGTGGCCTCAGCGCACACGGCTCTCTGCAGAGGGGCTTGCTCTGTGCCCTGAGGGAGCAGCATCCGGGCAGGCGTAACAGCATCCGTGCGAGCGCACGCCTGCAGGTGTCCTCCTGGGGCGGAGGCGCAGGCGTGGGTAGGACCAAGCCAAGGGCTGAAGGTGAGAGTGGCCACAGGCAGGAATGCGGGGTGCCGGGAGCTGGGCCGGGGAGGGCCCTCCCTGGAGCCTCTGGGGGAGCCACCGCCCGCGGCCTGGATGGCGTCCCTTGGTCCCTCAGGGCGGCGCGCCCGCTGCCCCAGCCTGCTCTGGCAGCCGCCCCGGCCACAGCCCTCCCGGTAGCAGGGTGTGGGCTGCGCTAGCCAAGCGGAAGGCCGTGGGACGGGCACCCCCTCCCAAGAGGGTCCTGGGGTGACATCTCTACCCATGAGGTGCAGCAGCCAGGGCCTCTCCTACTCCGGGCAGCCGGGCTGTGCCGGCAGGGCCCTTCTGCCCCCACTTTGCCCCCCGCCCCGCAGGCCCCTCTCCACGCTGTGGCCAGCAGACCCTTCTGAAGGCAGCAGACTGCAAAGGGCTATAATTTAAAATACATTTATTTCATGTTTCCATTTGTTTCTGGTTCTGTTACACAAAAGCCATTAAATAAATACATTCTCCAAGTCACTCGAGTACGACCCACCCGCTGTACAATGAGGTAGAGAAAGCGAAGGGCCCTTGGCCCGCGGAGGACCAGGCGCGGCCCCAGGACACCCTGGCCCTCGCCCGGGAGCGGGTCCCGCCGCAGCGCCGCTCTCGGCCTGCCGGACACTCGGATAACGTTCGGACAGACAGACGACCGGCGGGCTGCGCAGTCCGCCTCGTTAAAAAATACTTTTGATATTTATGACGTAGAGAGCTTAATGTGGTACTGGATTAAAAAAATAGCCTTTCTGCCCCGCCACCCCCGGCCCAGTAGTGACCGAGCTCAGTCTTGTCGTGCGAGCGCCCCGCGCGCCCCCAGCCCAGGGCAGGGCCTCGAGCCCCAGGGCAGACTCTGCTATGTACACCGGGAAGGCCGCGGCCATGGCCACGTAAATAGGGTTTCTCTGAAAACACAGCTCCTGGGTTCCTGGAGCCCCAGGATCGGAGGAACCCCCTCGCTCAGTAGTTCCTGCTTCCGCGCCGCTGCCCAGCTCTGCGCCCCCCAGACCCTTGCACCCAGGGGTGCGGCCACCAGCCGTCCCCGCTGGAGGAGGGCCCAGGGAACGGCCAGCTGGGGACGCGGGCCAGCCCCAGCTGACCACTGGCCAGGCCAGCACAGTGCACTGGGGCACACGCGCACACATGTGCACTATGGTGAGCACACAAGGTGCACACTCTCCACAGTGCACACCACAGCACGTACACACCACAGTGCACACGACAGCACACACACACCACAGTGCTCACACGCACACGTACCCACAACAGCACACGCACACCAGTGCTCACACATACACCACAGCACATACACACCACGGTGCACACACACCACAGTGCACACACCCCACAGTGCACGCACACACACCATAGGCACGCCGTGCACCACACGCATGTACGTGCCTACACACACGCACAGGCACACAGTGCATACACTCAAAGCCAGGTCAGCGAGGTGCGGTCAGGGAGCATGCTCCTGCCTACCCTGCCTCCCGCACCCACCGTGGGCTGTGCCTTTCGCACAAGACGAGCCCAGGGGTCTGCCCCTGCTGTGGCCCCCCAGGAGAGCAGGTCAGCCTCTGCCATGCCCATCTCGGGCAGCGGCGGGCAGCGGCTGCGTGTCCCGGGAGCAGCAGCAGCACAGCGAGTCCCTCGAGTTAGTGGTTTCAAATGACAAAGCAGATCAGGCAGAGAGGCCGGGAGGGCAGGGCGGGTGGGCGGGACCTCCAGACTGGCCAGGAGCGCAGCCTGGACGCAGGGGACAGGAACGTCCAAAGTATATATTAGTTAAATAAAATAATTTAAGTCGCTGACATCACTCCACAGAGATGCGCCGGTGTTGGGGCGCCGGTGCCAGCCCCGCTGGCTCCTAGTGGTTTGACTCTCTGAGACAGTGCTGGGCAGGGTGGCCGGGGCGCAGGCACAGAGGCCCTGGGGCACAGGTGGGTGCCTGGGGGCACCACGCCCGGGGACAGGCGTCGTGGGGCTGCCACAGCTGGCGAGGCAGGGGTTCTCGAGGGGACCTCGGAGCCCAGGGTGCGGGCAGAGGGCACGCGGAGGCCCGTCCCTGTCTTGGAGGGGCCGGGGCAGAGCCAGCTCGTCGGCACCGCAGTCCTGCCCACCGGCCCATGCGTGCGCGGGGACCCAGCCAGGGCCGGAGCGCGGGCTCAGCCCTTGCAGGTGTAGACCTCCTCGCGCTGCGTGCACTGCCGGCACTCCACGTAGCAGCACCAGCGCACCTGGCACTGGCAGGGCCGCGTCACTGCCCGGCTCTGCGTGTTGTGGCCACGCCCGCAGCAGATGCTTTCGCAGTTCTTCTCGCGGTGGCACCTGCGGCCTGCGGTGCCTGGGGAGAAGCGACCGGCCAGGCAGAAGCTGGGCGAGTCGTCCAGGTGCACCAGCTCAGGCGTGCGGGGCAGCGGGTCCACCCCCGCCCCGGCGGCACGGCCCCGCGGCGGCGAAACAGCCTCGCCTGTGGCCTCGTTGGTGGTGCTGCCCACCTTGAGCGCCGTCTCATACTTGTGCTTCAGCCGCTTGCCCACCTCGTGGAAGGGCGCCAGCTGCCGCCAGCACGTCCGCACGGTGCAGGAGCCCGAGACGCCGTGGCACTTGCACGTGGTCTCCACCCCGGCCTTGATCACCTGGCGGGAGAGGCGGGCATGAGGGCCGCGCGGCCGCCCCAGATGGCCACCCTCGGGCTGGGACGCCCCCACGCCCAGGCTGGCTCTTGGCTGCGCCCCCACCCCCAGCCGCAGGCGGGCACCCAGGGCCTTGGGTCTGGCCACAGAGGCGAAGGCAGCCAGCTAGCTGACCCCAGGGCAGGTTGGACATGACCGCACCCCTGCTGGGTCTGGGAGCAATGCCCGCACCAGTGGTGGAAACCCTGGCGGGAAGGAGGGGACCCCCGCTGCTGCAATAGCCAGCCCGACACCAGGGCTCAGACGGCTGCCCACCTGACCTTCCGGGACGGGAAGCCCTGCCGGCCAAGCCAGTCCCGTCCCCCTCGGGGTCTCTGGCCTGAGCATCCACACTGAGCCCCCAGAGAAACGAGGCCAGGTTGGGCAGGCCAAGATGCCCAGGCCCCTGTGGCAGGGGAGGGGCAGTGGCTGCCTTCCAGCCGGGCCCAGCAGTCACGTCCAGTGGGCTGTGTTGAGACACTCGGGCTGCTGAACCAAAGGCTATTCGCCCACACGCTGCAGCTCACGGCTCACGTGCCTGTCACGACCAGCCGGCAAGGGGGCACCAAGGGCGGAACTGGGCTCTGGCTGAAAGTGGGGAACGGACCCCTTCAGGACGCACGACTCAGAACTCCCCGGACGGAGGGCCCGGGGCTGGCTCAGCTGCCTCCGCCCAGCAGGCTCCAACAGGCACAGACCTACCGCGGCAGTGGGAGAGAGGCCCTCGCCACAGGCCGGCCCCCCGCAGCCCCAAGATCTGGGGTGCTGGTTGACCCCGCAGGCAGGGCCTATGGCGTGGCTGCTCTGTGCACATTGGGAGCGACGGGCCCTCCAAGGGTACGCCCGGCCCAGGGCGGGGTCCAGACTGTTGGGCCAGTCCCACCTGTAGCCAGAGCCCTGCAGGGCCCAGCAGGCCAAGCGCCCCGTACTCAGGCAGCCGTGAGCCAAGCCCGGCCACCTGCAGGGCCCAGACCAGAGTCACCCCCCGACGTGGCCCACTGTGCCCCAGCCCTTCCGGACTCCCGGCCAGCCCCCATGCCGGCTGCTGTCCACCTGCATCCTTGGTGGCGGGATAGCCTGGCTCCCGCCCTGCAGGGGACCCGGTGCTGCTGCCCTTTGGTGAGACGGTGCCCGTGGGGGCCTGCCGTTCTCCCCGACCGGCGGCACAGCCTCCCTTGCTCCTGAGCCCTCGCCCGTCTCCCTGACGGGCAGAGAGCCACGGGGACGCTGGCCTGGAGCACGCAGGCTGGGCAGAGCCCCCCCGCCCCGCTTGCCTTCACACCCACGAGGTTGTTGTGGAAGTCCACGCGGGCCCGCAGGTCCCGGCCTGGCCGCCGGCCCAGGAATTCCTTGACGAACTTGCTGCTGTACTTGAGGTTGTCCCCGCAGCCGCCCCACTGCCAGGCCTCCCGGTTCTCCAGGTCCGGAGCCTCGTCGCACGTGCAGCGCTCCATGCGGCCGGCGCTGCAGGCCTTGGCCAGTGCGTGCGTCAGCCCGGCCGAGGAGATGGCGTAGAGGAAGGCGGTCTCCTTGAAGCCTAAGGAGCCGCCAGGGTCAGGGGTCAGGGCTCAGGGGCAGGCTCCCACCTCCCCCCGGCAGGGCTCCAGAGGGAGCCCCACACCCCCGGGCAGTGTGGGGCCATGGGACGGACCTTCCCCGGCACACCACCAGGGGCCTGCACCTGGGCAGGAGGCCCCTAGGCCGAGCGGCACTGGTCAGGGGCGGGAGTGATGCCCAGCCGTCCTGGTCACAGGGCCCCTGACCCCACCCCGGCGGGCTCTGTGGCCCTGCCTGCCCTGGAGGTTGGAAGGCTCAGGCCAGTCCCCAGCAGCACCCACAGGCAGGAGAGGGGCCTGTGCTCCCACAGCAGGCAGGGCCCCGCCGGGAACCCTGCCCCCCCCAGGAACAGGGCTTCACTGCAGGGGTGGGGGGAAGAGCACCCTCAGGGGCCAAGGCGCAGGGCAGGGGTGGGATGGTCAGGAGGGGGTGGGGCAGGAGGGGGCTGGAGAAGGGCAGGGGAGGGGGCGGGCAGGGCCGGATAGGGCCGGAGGCAGGGGTGGGGCGCGGAGGGGTGGGGGGGCGTGGCACGCCCCGGGCCTCACCTCGGCGGAGCAGGCTGGCCCGGTAGCGGCCGTCCAGGGAGCAGTTCCAGCGCTCGAAGCGGAACTGGTACTGGCACTCGAGCGCACTCATGCTGACCGCCTCTACCAGCGTCTCGGCCACGCCCGGGTCCCGGCGGCACATGCGCCGCTGCTTGCGCTCCAGCTTCAGCCGGTCGCAGGCCTTGTAGTGCGCCTGGGCGGCCGCCTCGGGCTCCAGAGTCAGCGGGAGGATGGTGAGGGGCTCGCTCCCTGTCAGCCTGGGCAGAGAAGGGCCAGAGTGAGCATCGGTGAGGGGCCAGGCGCTGAGGAAGGGGCTGGTGGTGGCAGGGCCCAGGGAGAGGCCAGGCAGGGGAGAGCTGGGCACCCGCATCCTCCAGGTGTCTTCCCCGTCCTGCCCGCAGCCCCCGCCCAGCCCCCCACGGTCAGCATCCCGCCAGCCCACCAAGCCGCCTGCCCACCCTCTCCGGCTCTGCGCTCTGACACAAGCGCCTCAGCAGCCCCAGACAGGGGCCTGACGCAGCCCAGGCGTGTCCACACCCAGCAGCACCGACACTCAGCTTGCGTGAGGACAAGGTGGGGCTCCGACCGCAACCCCTTGGGGGTTCCACAGGAACCGGGGCCACCAGGCCTCTTCAGAAGCGGGCCTCACCCTCTTGGTGCCCCTAAAACCCCCTCCAGAGCTCAGGGTCCTGGAGCTGATGCCAAGAGGGCAGCATTCTGTGGGGTGAGGGGAGCAGGACCTCTGGGGCACCCACTCACGGCCCCAGCAGTGACAGAGCAGGCTGAGGCTCCTCTGGGGCGTCTGAAGCACCCCCAGATGGCTGCTGCCCAGCCCTCTTCCGTCAGCTCCCTGAGGCCAGGAGGCCAAGGCATGGGAGGGGGCGCAGGCAGACCAAGGACAGGCTCGCAGCTGAATGAGGCACCGGGTGCAGCTGCGTCTGCGGCACATGGCAGGAGGGCAGGGACCGCGGGCCTGGAGCACCCCCACGTTGCAGGGGGAGGCACAGGGCGCCCAAGGGCCAGGAGCAGAGAGTGGGCACGGCCTTGCAGGGTGGGCGGGGCCTAGTCGGGATGGGCGGGGCTAGCAGGGTGGGGCCTGTCACCGCAGACTCCTCTCCTGCCCGGCCCTGGGGTGGGGTGGGGGGGTGCCGGGCTAAGGTGGGCACCTGACTCACAGGTGGCCCCACCTGAGGACAGCTGCCCAGCCAAAGCAGGGAGCAGGGCGGGGGTCCGAAGCCAGGCGCTGGGGCCTGGCGTAGCCGCACCATCCCCCTGCACAGACAGCCTCCGCGTTGGCGGGCGCCCGGTGCCCAGGCAGGGCATCCACGGTGGTGCCCAGAATGGCAGTGCCCAGAACAGTGAGCCCAGAACGGTGGTGCCCAGAATGGCGTGCCCAGAATGGCAGTGCCCAGAACAGTGAGCCCAGAACGGCGGTGCCCAGAATGGCGAGCCCAGAACGGCGGTGCCCAGAATGGCGAGCCCAGAACGGCGGTGCCCAGAATGGCGAGCCCAGAATGGCGGTGCCCAGAATGGCGAGCCACCTGGCCATGGCTGCGTCACCTCCGAGCCGCACTACTGCCAAGGCCCCAAGCGAACCAGTTACAGGTGCCACCCCAGGGCCCCGGCAAGGCTGCCCCACTGGCCCCCTGGGTCCCGGCTAGAAAGGGCAGTGCTGGGCGTGGGCGAGGAGAGGGCATGGAGGGCAGGGGCCCCTGACTGCCCCCTGCCGCGAGCACTGCCAGGGGTGAGGACCCTTGCCCCGGCCCCGCCAGTGGGGTGGCCCATGCCCGGGGCTGCGCAGCGGAGCTGGGTCCCGGGAGCCGGCCCTGGACGGAGCAGCGGGCAGGGCGGCCAGCTCTGGGCCTGAATAGGCCGCGCCTCTGCTGCCGCCCACGGCGGGTGGGGAGCAGCCTACACCGGCTGCTGGGGCGCCGTTGCTTGAGAAGGGCGGGGGCGGCGTGGCCGGGTGCCAAGGACCAGTGCTCCCGGGGTGGGCGCGTGCTGGGGCCCCAGGGGTGCCCCCATCCCACTCCTGTGCCAAGGCACCCCCTCCCCAGGTCCCCTAACTGTCCGGGGCGCGGACATGCGGGCAGAGGGGGGCTGGGGGCCTGGCCCAGGACAGAACCCTGGGCCCAGACTCCTGCAGGACAGGGCAGCTGAGCAACTCCCCCCCAGCGGGCGCGGCCCCGGTGTGCCCGGCTCCTAGAGGTGCCCAGACCCCAAGCGTCGTCAGGGAGGCCGTGCCCACCCACAGACATCCAGCCCTGTGGCAGGGCGCAACGGAGGTGAGAGAGAGGCCCCCACCCAAGCTCAGGGCTGAAGGGCGTCCTGAAACCCAGCCTGCGGGGCCCCTCCACAGAGCAGGCATGGACCCCACTCAGGGGCCCCCCCAGGCTGCCCAGCGGCCCCCATGGTTCTTGGCGCTGGGCGCTGACAGGGTCCACACCCTGGTGGCCTGGGGCCCGCCCCTCCCTGGTCTCCAGGGGCTGGGCCCTTGTGGAAAGGGCCCCCAGGCGGCTGGCCAGCCCGCTGCCCACCCTAGGCCAGTGCACCTGCCACCACCGCCCAGCGGGAGTCTGGCCCAGGACAGGCGAGTGTGGCACGGCCTGCCCAGGAGGCGTGCGGAGGAGGCAAGCTGGGCAGGCTGCCCACAGCGGCAGCCCCCTGGACGGCCGTCCCCTGGACGGCAGGAGGCCAGGCCCAGGCAGCAGCACCAGCCCCCGCTTCCTGGGAAGAGGTGACGCGTGGCCTGGCGTCTGCGGCCCGGACACTCCCCAGCACTGCCCGCCCTTCAGGGTCCCCGAGAGGAAGCACAGAGTGGGGGGCTGCCCGCTGGCCCTCCAGGGTCCCCAGGGCCACAGTCTGACCCCCATCTGCAGGCACCCCCTTCCCCTCCACGGGGCCACTCGCCCTGCCCCGCAGCTGCCAACGGGCTCTGGGCCCTGCTCTGCCAGCGCCACCTCGCCCACCCCGCAGCCTGACCACAGGAGCATCCCTGCTGCCCACTGGCTGCTGCCAGAGTCCTTCCAGCAGGCTCCATGGGGACACACGCACACACACACGACGCATGACACCACACCACAAACTACGTACCCCCACCACACATATACCACAAACCATACACATGACAAACCGCGCAACCATGCCTCACACACCCCCACGACAAACCACATACACCACCCCACACACACGACAAACCACACATACCACACATGACAAACTGCACATACTACCCCACACACACACCACCCCACACACCACACACATACACATACCACAAACCACACATACCACATGCGACAAACTGCACACACCACCTCACAAACATCCCCCACACACCACATACACTCACCCCTCCATACACATACACACACACCCCCATACACACACCACAAACCACACATGTCAAACCACACACACCACACCCCACACACCCCCCACACCACATACATAGACCACAAACCACACACGACAAACCGCACAAACCACCCCACATCACATACACACACCCCACAAACCACACCCCACACACATCCACCACCAGACTCTCAGGGCAGTGAGTGTGCAACGAGTGTCTCCCCAGCTCGGGGCTGTCCCCAGTGCCGCAGGCCTGTCTCGCTGTCCCCGGGGGCCCACATGAGCCATCCCCTGGCCTCCTCCTGGCTGTGGTCCTGCTCCACGCTGGAGCGGGGGGGGGGGGGGGGAGGGGCGCCCCTAGCAGGGCCAGGCAGGTGCCCCACGATGGCCGCAGGCCCCGCCCCCACTCCTTGGGCAGCCAGGACCCGGGTGGGGGGGCGGGGCCTGGCGGGGCCCCTCCGCGGCTATGCGGCTCAACCTGACCAGCACCCTAGACGCCCCAGGAGGCCCGGCCCATACACCCGCCTTAGAGCCACGCAGGCCGCCCCCCAGGGGGGAAGACGCGTTCCCACCAGCTCCTCGTCCTCCTTCTGAGCAACTGTATTGAGAGGAGCCGTCCCTCAGGGCCTGCACATCCCACCCCTCCGTGCACCCCACTCGCGGGGATTTTCACTGCCCTGAAAAGAAGCCCCCCCACCCCCAGATCCCCACTGGCCTTCCACGGGGAGTCTGTTCTCGGCCCTTGGAGGTGCGGGTGCGCCCCTCGTGCATGGCAGGAGGTGGGCCTGGGGCCGGGAAGGGCGCCTGGGCTCCTCCGCCCGCTGACCGCTGCCCCAGAGGCCGTGGCCGGCCACCCTCTCGTCCCCTCACAGCTGGGACAAAGCGTCCCTCTCCCCGCCTCTGGCCTGCCCTCGCCGGTCCACACCGCCCGCCAGCCACTGCTTCTCTGCTGCCCCCCCCCAGACCTCTCATTCCAGGTGCCCCCCAGCAATTTCAGGCTTTCCTCACTGTCTCAGTCCCCTGTCCTGGGTCCACGTGGGCCCCCCTCTGGGCCTGGTGGGGGAGGGGCACCCCGGAGGCCCCCACTGTGCCCCAGCGCGGTGCTCCCCCTCCCAGCCTGCACCCGCAGGCCTCTGCTTGGCCTCCTCCCAGAGGACCCGCCTCCCTGCCTCCCTCCCGTGCGGCCTCCGTGGGTCTGTGGCCCAGAGAGTCCTGGCCCCGCCAAGCGTTCCTTTTTCCCGCCTGGGCACTGCCGGGCTTCCTGCAGCCACACAGCAGACCCTGAAAGTCCTCTGCCCTCTGCTCAGACGCCCCCACCCGGCCAGCCCACCTGCTCGGGCAGGCTGCTGGCCTCCCCCGCCGGCCACTCCGTAACTTCTTCTGATCCGCCTTCCAGTTTGCTAATTCTCTTCAGCTGTTTCTAATCTGGCCTCGGATCGTTACTGAAATGTTTTCCCCGGTTCTGCTCGGTTTTTCCAAACTTGCTGGGTCAGTTTTTGTGGTTTCTCGTTCTTTGCAGACACCCAGCTTATCTCTCCCGGCAGAGAGGGGGTCCCAGCGGCGTGGGCCAGGGGCTGCGGGCACCCCAGTTCTCTCGCAGGTCAGCTCTGTGAGCGGGGCAGCTGGTGGCCGCAGAGGTCATCAGTCTACAGTAGAGGTGGCGGCCTCGTGCTGCCGGAAAGCCCAGAGCTGTGGACAGGCCTCTGCACAGAAGCCCTCGGGGCCACCCCAGGCTGCAGCTCAGCCTGCAGGAGGGCAGGAAAGAACTGGGGATGGACAGACCCGGAGACGCCAGAGCCCCCATAGGTGAGGCCGGGGGCTGCGGGGACCAGCTGCCCCTCAGCGCCCCTCCACCACACTCCCTCACACCTGCTCCCGGCAACCAGGTGGCCAGACGGGC